TTAAAAAAAAAAAAAAAAAGAAAGTCTGCTAAAAGCACACCTCATTTGAGAGTTCAGGCAATGGTAGTCCTGGTTATTAGATCAGGGGACCCTGGGTGAGAGTATGCAGCCAGCTTTGGGGTTGCCATGGCAACCTCAAATCATGCTCCAGCTTCTTAAAGCCACTGCCCTTGGAAACTCGCTTCCCAGATTCTGCAGTGCTTCCAGTATCCTGAGATGGCTACTGTCCCCGTAGAAATGGTATAGGAAATGACTTAACCCACATAGTGAACCTGGAGAAGGAGTTAATACTATATCTGCAATGAAGCCTTCAAGGAAAAGGTCCTTTGCTTCCTGGAATACAAATCTCAAGTGTCCTGTCACTGTGAAACCTAGCTTGACACTTACTTTTGCCTTCTTTACATCGTCCGGGGTTTTTCCTTAATCGTACTTATGCTTACAATGCTCTATTTTAGAAAAAAAGAAATTGGTCCGTTTCAGTCGTGACACCCTTTCCAGTTAAATTTCTGGTTTTTCTTCCACAACAGATGATCTAGTGTCTTCCCTTCCTCACCAGAACAAACCTTGAAAAGTAGTGTATTCCTGCCCTAGCCAGTTTTGCTCAGTGGTTAGAATGTAGGCTAGTGGGCTGAAGAGTCCTGGGTTCAATTCCAGCCAAGGTCATGTACCTCGGTTCCAAGCTCGATTCCCAGCCCCAGTGGAGAGGCAACCAATTGATGTGTCTCTCTCACGTTGATGTTTCTCTTTCTTTGTCTCTCTCCCTCTCTCTCTCTCCCCCCCCCCTCCTTTCCTCTCTCTCTGAAAAGCAGTGGAAGAAATATCCTCTGGTAAGGATTAAGGAAAAAAAAAACAAACAACTAGAGTATTCTTAAAAAAAAAGTCCAGTGACCCTACTGTCAATATAGACAAATGATATAATCATCTGACACACTGTCCCTGTTATCCTGTTTTCTTTTTCTTTTTAGCACACACTGCCACCTGGCACTTTATAAATATTAAAAGTTAGCAGATTCTAAATACTACTAGTATATTTTCTGGTCTTTCGACCAGTATTATACTTTTTAGCAAGAAACAATAGAGAATATCATGTGCACACACATTTGTTTTGTACATACAACCATTCCTATCTATCAATCCATCCATCTATCTGTATATCCATCTATATTTCTGCTTCCTTTCAGAAATAATTCTCTGCTTTTGAAAATGCCAAATCTTCTAATCCCTTTGATAAACCCAAAGACAGTGTTGTCTCAAATGATAAATAGATAAAAACTAACAATTAACTTCAATTTGTCCTGAATTGGACAGACTGTCTAGACAGGCTTAATTTATTTAATTATTATTCAGCATTCATCTTCACTTTAGATAAATGGATCTCACCCAAGTTAGGGAATGCAATTAGCCTTTAATTCATTATTTTCCCTATTCTTTCACTGAAACTTAAAATACAACAAGGGTGCTCCACACTGCTATCCTCAGATTCTGCACACTAAGACGCACTGTGGTTTAAAGCAACAGATTCCAGAATGTTTTATGGAACACTAGTCCTCAATAAGCTCCAGAGAAAGTATCAATGTTCATGGAAGTTGGGATATCTCATGCTGTTTCTCCTTCTGGGAAATGTGGGGTGCGCCCTGATAAGTCCTACAGTGAAGACTCCTGTTTAACTCAGCACTTCTCTATCCTCTGCCTTTAAAGAAACAAAACAAAACAAAAAAACATATCTCAAAGCACACTTTGTGAAAGCTGATTTCATACCTTAAAAGACTGTTATATTCACAGTAATGAACTCCCTTGAGCAGGTTCCCAGGTGAAGCTGCTAAGAGTATTGGAAAAAAGTTTTAATGTAGCTTTGGCTTATGCTCTGCTGACTCTCCTAGTTCTTTCTGTTTATTCTTAAAAGTGGCATATTCTTCAACTTTGATATTTGTCACCACCTTGGGATATGATGTATATAGTATGCAGCATATTAAACTTTAAAGTTAATTTTCTATTATTCAGTGAAATGGTCTCTGGAAACAGAATTCTCACATAATTGCATGTTTCGATTTTTGGACTGAATACTCTGAGGACAATAAAAAGTATACTCAAACATCAGTTCATACTGACGTTTTA